TGTGTGTGTGTGTGTGTGAAATTCTTCCAAACTGTCACAGCCAAGAAGAGAAACGACATCATACTTCATTCCTACCTTTCAGCCACCAGCTGGGTCTGGGAGTTGTAATGGCAGACGATAAACAAGGTTTTAATTCGGGAAATAAAACTGCTCCATTTACATCATAACCATCATGTGTGCGCCCATTTACACCCAGAAAATATTATTTACCTCTTTGCAAGAGGGTGCAGTTCGTCGTCTCGCGGGTGCCGTTCACTTGATGCGGCACCGAAAAGGTATTCTCATCCTTCACAATGCCGAGTATATGACTAACTGCTTCTACTCCTTGCATAAGAGAGTGATCTTGGTTTCCCACCTCGTATTTCCAAGCCCCAAAACGGCCCCTGGAATAGATACAATGGGCCTTCAGCTGCGGCTGCACCTTGTTCAGAAGCTCATTGCGGCCAATGAAAGGAGTAGGGTATCCCTTGGCGATATGATGGAACCATCGGCTTACTACAACATCTTCCGCAGTCAACAGGTTAGATGCAATGCAACCAGCAATGCAATCCTGAATAAGGGTTTCGTGATTTACCGGCTTATATCTACTCTCACTAACCTCCAACATAAGACTCCAATGACACTCTGGGGCATTGTACTTGGAATAGTTAGAGAACACTGTTGCGCGGTAAAATGGGGATGTGTCTTCAGGGAAGTACAACCAACATGTTGTGCGCAGGTGCGGCGGTGGGGCACCCTTAATGCCTAGACCGATGATATTTGTGGAACTATACATCATCTTGTCCGCGATTTTGCACCATTCTTCATGATTCGTGAAGCCACTGCCTTTCGTCATGCGCAGAAGGTCATCGTACGGCACTGTGGAAATGAGATAGTCGTACCTCACCACTTTACCATTGGCAAATGTGACGGTCTTGCCATCTGCATCAACTGCCACCATCTGATAAGATGAGTCAAACGTCAGGCGCTCCTGTGGCAACTTCGCACAGATAGCTGCATAAATCCCACCAGTCCCACCATACTGGGGAAAACGAAATGTCGCATTTGGTCCCCAGCCCAAATCATCTTTGTTAGTTTCAATGTTGTGACGAATTCGCTCCACATCGACAGGGGCAACGCGCTCGCCAACCCACTCGGTACTCATGAGTCGCGGCGGCACGGCCCATACTTTGAAGTTATATGGCCGCATAAAAATATTCGCGATACCCTCACCAAACTGCCGCGTAAAGGACTCTTCAAAGTTCCTTGGTGGCTCCTTGTAGGTTACAGCTTGTGCCTTAACTATCTCATTAAGGCAGTGTCTTGTATCCGACTTTGGCAAGCGGTGAATGTTGTTCTGGAATGGATATGGCACCAATCGACCCCGTACCCAGACCCACGACTCACGTTCCAGTGTGTTCCACTCCTGCACCGCCCAATCCATTACATCATCGAAGTATTGGTAGTGAGAGAAAATGACGTGTCCACCCATATCCCACAAAAATCCATTGTCGTCACAGCAGCTGCGCGACAGACCACCAGGAACGTCACTGCAGTCGTACAGATGCCAGTCCTCATGCTTGAGCTCGGCGAGGCGCACCGCCGCGCCCAGACCCGTAGGTCCTCCGCCTATTATAACTACTCTTGGCATAAACTATTTCCCTTAATTCACAGCCCCCCCCCTCTTTGTTGTCACACTTTTCCTTTCTTCTTTTTCCTCCTCCTCCTCCCCCTTCTTCTTGTTGCTTCTGTTGGTATTGACGTACACCCAGAGCATGTGAGGTGGCACGCGAGTTAAGAAGATTAAGAAGAATGAACGGCGCGAATTCTTATTTCAATAAGGGAAGCGTGCGTGAGTGTGCAAGGATTAGGTGGTGCCACGCAGCAAACAGAAAGTATCAGTGGTTTACCAGTGAATAAGGAATAAATAGTATTCAATAGGAAAACGAAAGGTGAGCTCTCAGAATGGAGTGATTCTCTTGTGATTCTGGCAGTATTGCCAGCTGCATCAAATGTACTCCATCGAGAAGCCGAAAACCATTTTAATGGCATCGAAGAAGTTAGCCTTCCATCCTTCCTGCACGCTTAGCAGCTCACCCTCTGGAATACCAACTTGCGCAAACTCGAGCAGTGACACACCGGGCTCCTCCTTCTTCAACGCCATCACGACAGAGCTGTGAACGCCGCTCGGCCAGCCTTGGAGCCGCCACTGCATCTTCACCTTCTCGTTTGGCACCACCTCAACGAAGTAGCCCGTGATGACGCCATTAAGAAACTCAAACGTGCCACCAGAGCGTGGATCAATCTTTGCCGGACACCGTGTGTACACGGAGGCACGCTGCTCGTTCATAAGCACCATGAAAAGTTCCTCAGCAGGCACGCGCCAGCGCATATGCCACGAGAAATTAGTGGCCATGCTGTCTGGCGATTGTGCTGCTGCAGAGCCGCCCTTGGCGCTCCCGCCAGTAGATGCCGCCTGTTTCTCTGTGGATGCCGGCGGCGGAGGCGGTGGTGGCAACGACGAGGCATTCTTCAAGTTTTTACCGATTTGATACGTCTCGAAGAGCTGGTTGAAGTAGTCCGCGATGACGGCACGAACAGCGGCGCGCCCCTTCGAGCGCATCAACGCGTCCGCCTTCTGCGACGCCGCGTCGCCGTCGGTGGTGCTGACGACAATGTCATACTCACCTCGGAAGTTGTCGTGATCGACCTCCGGCAGCGTGAGACGCCCGGTAACGTCACCACCACCCGCCCACTTGATCGTAAGCTTGAGCTCGAAGTAGCACATCATCTTGCCCTTGCGCTGCGCCACCGTGACGTCGCCACTGATTTCGCTCACCTCCGTTGCACATAGCTCCACGCCGTCCTCGCTACACAGAGCGAAGTTCTTCAGCCGCCGCTTCAGCTCCTCATGGCACTCATTGGAGAGATCACGCTCTTCCCAATGCCACGCGTTGACGTTCTGACCATCCTTCCGCTCGTTCACAATCCACCGCGGGTCTCCCTCTCCCACACGCGCCATATAGTTTTTCTTGACTTTGTTTGTTTATTTGCTAGCGTACGACCGTAGCAGTCAAAAGCTTTCTTGCTTAAATCTCCATGTTAGTATATGAACATAGATAAAGAAATATGTGTAACTCAGCAAAGTGGTGAGAGGGATGGAACAACAGGAGCAACCATGAGAATAAGAACAACCGCAACAACGCAGAGAAAACGAGGGAAGGGGACAAGAGTGGTCTGGTGTGTGCACACACATTAGTAGCCGTTGTGGTGGTGGAGCCGCATCGTTGATGGGGAAGCAGAAAAAAAGTGAGCAACACCACCTGGCTGCAGTGGTGTACCTCTTGTCCTCTATATCTCCTTTTTCTTTTTTTTCTCTTGCTTGCAGCCTTTCCTTTGTTGTTGTTGTTGTTTTTCTCTCTTTAAAATGGAAAAAGAAAGGCAGAGGAGATGAGGGGGGCAATAGTCCTTAGACCCATCAGTTACACGTGCTTCACAACACACTTGCTTTACCTTGTCCCACCACCCCTTCCACCTCTGTCTCACTCCTCCACGACGGGGCAACGGCTGGCCCGAGCTCAGCTGCTCGGAGCAGGCGTGCTGCATTAGGCCTTCCCGCTAAATCGTTGCACGATCATCTACTGTCTGTTGGCCTTCGACACCCACCGCCTCTTCCATGTCAGGCCGGCCCTCCATTTCTCGCATCTCATCACCATCATTGTGGCAGTAGGTCCCCTGGTTGTCCATTGTCTCCCTCGCACTCTTCTTCATCTTGCTTTCATCATCATTGTTGTTGTTGTTGT